AAGGGGGAACCCCGAAGGAACCAGAACAGCCGTCGAAGCCAAACCCGACCCGGCGGGTAGACCACCATCGCGAAGTTCAGGCTCCCGCACAGCCCCTCGAGCAACCGCCGGGTGACCCGAGGGCCCTCCAGAAACAGACGAAGGCGGGACCGCAGCCGCAGGAGAGACTCCGGAGGGAGAGACAAGGAGGCGGTCCGAGAGTCCCACACGAGACCCAGCCAAGTCCGAACCTGAGAGGGAACCAGATGGGACTTCCTCCAGTTCACCAAGAACCCGAACCCGGCGAGCTGGGAAAGAACCAAATCCCTGGCTAGCAAGCAAGCGGACTGGCTGGGAGCCCAAACCAGCCAGTCGTCGAGGTAGGCCAACACCCGAACACCTAGGAGACGCAAACGAGCCACCACAACCCGTGTAAGGCGTGTGAACACGCGAGGTGCCAGGTTCAACCCGAACGGGAGACAACGAAAGCGGTAACTCAGACGCCCCACTACAAAACCGAGCCAGTCCCTGAACCGCGGATGAATCGGGACATGCCAATAAGCGTCCCGGAGGTCCAGGGACACCATCCAAGCACCCGGCTCCAAGAGGAGCCGAACCTGAGACAGCGTAGTCATCCGAAAGGAGGGGCAATGAACCCAGGGGTTCAGACGGGACAAGTCCAGAATGAACCGCAGGTCCGCGCAGTCCCGTTTCGGAACCGGAAACAGACGGGAAACCCATCTGAGGGACGACGTCGTTTCGACGACGCCCAAGCGTACCCACTCCAAGACGACTCGACAGAGCGCAGGGGAAGAAGCCTGCCCCGCCAGCCCCGACCCCCCAAAGGGGGGAGGGGCCACCCAACGCCACCGCAGGCCGCGAGACACGACCCGAAAGGCCCACGAATCGTGGGACCAGGCGCGGGCGAACAGCGCAAGCCGCCCCCCCATCGCCCCGTCAAAGGGGCAAACCGCGAAAGGGCCGGCGACCCTTACGAGACCCAGAACCCCGCACAGCGCGAACACCGCGCCGACCAGACGAGGGAGGGTCCGCAGGAGGAGCCAACCCCAAACCTGACACCAGAGGCCTACCACGACGAGAGGAACCCCGAGCCCTGGCACGACCTTTCCGGGAAGACCCACCCCGGGACCCCCGGAAAACCAACAAGTCCGACATCGGACGACAAGCCGCCGACGCAGCCTGAATAAACTGCGCCACGGCCGACTCCCCAAACAGGAGAGGACAAAAAGGTGAAGAACGCCTAAGAGCCAGAGCCCAAGCAGATTCCACGGAGGAACCCAGCACCGCCTGCCGACACGCGAGACGGGAAGCATAGAACAGGGAAACCGCATCCCGCAAAATCGGCGTGAACAGCTTCAACAAGGCAGCCGACGAACGCGCAGCCGAGGACAAGGTGCCGGACCTCGGGACGGACCCAAGCGTCCCCACATCCTCCACGAGCCAATCCGAAGACAGCTCCAGGAGGGAAAAGAACCGCAAGGCCGAACACAAAAGGCCCCGAGCGCGCAAGTCCTCCGCCACGAGCGCCGCCGAAAGGGAGGGAACCTGCACATGGAGCTGAATAACGCCCACATCGCGGGGAAGGGCAGGGGCAAACAAGCACTCATTCAGGTACTCAAGTTCACCCCCAGGAAAACCTGAAGCACCGTGGAAGCTTCCCGCCACTCCAGCGTGCGGGAACGACAGAAGGAATGCCAGGAATCCAGACCAAACAAGGGGCAGTCTGCTAGCCAGGATGACTCCGGAACCTCGTAACGGAGCCAGAAAGGGAACGAAGTCCCAAACCTGAACGTGGACGGATCCATTTCCGAGGCATAATCCGGGTCACGCAGGAGGTAAGCTGCAAAGGCCGCTCGCACCACACCAGGTTGGATGCGATAAGCCGAAAACCTCCGGAAGGACGGAACCGACGTACCCGGGGGAACACGGAACCGTACCCGGGGAGGGGCCGACACCAAATCCAACTCGTACGCAGAGGGGGGGGAAAGAAAACCCCACTCCTTGTAACAATAAGCCCCGCTCAGTGGGAAGAAAAACCCAGGCGGGGTCCAGCGGGGCCCAAGGCCCCCAAGTCAGCCTCTCCCCAGCCTCGAGGTCCGTCACCACAGGACCCGAGGCCGAGTCCTCTCCCCAAGCCCCGACCCCACAAGACAAGGACGGAGCAGCCGGAAAAGCTGGAGGAAGGGGGGCCCACTGGTCAGACCCTGAAGCTTCGGCCGGGAGACAAGACTCGAATGCCTCTGCCGCCCCCCCGGAAGGGGCAACCCCCGAAGCTGCCCGAGTCTCGAGATCAAGTAACCCCTGCTCCGACCCCGAAACCCTCAGACGCTTCGGGGCCGGAAGCAGGGGCGGGGGACCAGAACGAACAGAAGGGGAAGGACGAGGAGGTGCGGACTGAACCAGGATCGAAGCGACCCCCACCCCCAAGTCCGGGTCTCGAAAAGCAAAGCGGGGCAGCCCCGGGGCATCCGGGGAAGCAACCAATCGAGCGCGTTGCAACAGACGAAACCTAGACTGCAACGCACGTGCCGCCTGTACCCGAATAGAATCATCAGAGGATTGGGTAAATTGAGTCACAAGCAAGCAGCAACACTCACAGGACTCAGGGTCGAAAGTATCACCGACCCAACAGGCAGCGTGGCAGAGGCAAAAACAATGAGGGTCACCCTGAGACAAGGGGACCGAGCAACCCTCAAACTCGCACACAGCGAGTGGGGACCCGGGGTCACATCCATCGGACCCACGCGCCCCCTAGGGGATTCCCAGGGTCCTGAGCGTTTACTTTAAGAGGACTCGCGCTCAGGTAGTCCCAGGCAGGGTGCTGCAAACCGGCGCCCAAAACTACCAAGCAAACTTCTAAAGCTGAACCCCAGGGACGTGTACACTCACGGGGACCTAGCAGGGGGCGCCACCGAGGAGAACAGTGGAAGGGCAAAAACAAACTGAATAAAATGACAGAACCCCCACCAGGCAAAAACAAAAAGAAAAACAAAACCCCGCAAGAGGACAGCGAACCCCAAGGAACAGAGCCGGCCGCGATGTCGGGAATTACAAGCTGAGCAGCACCCTGCGCCCCTACCAGTGCAAACTGCCTCTTACCTGCCGGTAACAAGGGAGAACAGAACACCCAAGAGCCCAACAGGCGGCCGAAAAACCGAAAGGTAAAACGGACCAGCAGAGGCAGACCCCGAGGAGCCTGTGGAAGGTGGCCCCAAGCCCCAAGGGCAGTACTTACAGGGCACCTAGGGAAGGCAGCCCTAGGCGCATGCAGCCCGAGTACTCAAGATAACTCCTGGCTCTCGCACCCACAAAACTAACACCACACTCAAAGCACAGTGCAGTAGCGACACCGGAGCCAGAGCACACGACCATCGCCTATAGCATCAGCCTCAAGAACTGAGGTGTGGGTAGCCGGCGCGGGGGGTCTGGGGCTCCCCCTTCCCCCTCCCGGGGAGGGGGGAGCTGCGCAGACAGCGGCGCGGCAGTGTGTGACGTCACACTAATTTGCTTGTTTTCGGTTGGGGAGTTCTATCCACTAGTTCGGTATTAGGTAGCAATTTTAACCAGAATAGGGGTTTGTTTTGGGGCGCTTACCTTTCTGGGTGCCTGTTCCGGTCGATGGCAGACATAGAATGCTTCCAACTACACGGGGGCTTCTATAGGCCATTGCTCCCCTTGCCTCTCTGAGGGGGCCCGGTTCTGGCCGTGGTCCCCGGTAGGCCTAAGAACTCCATACACATGACTGATGCCAAAGTCTGACATTAGCATATCAGCCTGGGATAGCTCCGGGGAGCCGACGGGGCTCCCCCCAGAAAAGTAGTTAGTAAACAGTTGATTGACAGTTGAGAGGCGGGCCGAAAGAGCAAAGCTCAACCCCCGCAAAAACACAACTAGTAAACACAACTAGTAAACACTGCACACCAGGCATGGCAAGGTGGATATTATTGAAACTTTTAAAATACAGTACCGAACAAGTTAGAGGATGTTGATCCGGACAATTTCTTCAAAGGTCAGATGTAACACAAACAAGGAGCAACGGTTTCAAGCTCAACAAGCCACAATGTAGGAATGATAACAGAAGATGCTCTGTCACCCACAGGGTTATTAACCCATAAAACTGCCTACCCGCCAAAGCTGTAACTGGCAAAACTGTGTTGTTTTAAAATCTACCTGGAAAAGATCAAGGCAAATGGGGGACCTTTGACAAGCCGCCAGCTTCCTGTCCCTCATTGAGGGACCCTAGAGGCCTTCAGGTAAATCAGGTAAGAATAAGAAAAATGGGTAGAAATAAGCAACAGGGGCAAAGCTCAAGTCAGATCACATTTGTTAGGAAGATTAGAGCATTTAAGTACTGGTATGTACAGTACAGTGAAAGGGAAGATTCAGCAGCCACAAAGCCATTACTATGGTTCGTGTTGGGTATGTTGTGTATCGGAGCCAATTCCACAACATGGCGTCTGTGAAGAGTAGACACAGGAAAGATTATTTTAGAAGACCAATCTATAGGATGATTACAATTCCTAACATGACAGAAGAGAGCATTGTTTGTGTCTGCAGACCTAACACTTCTTTTGTCTTCCTCAAGTCTGTCATTTAGTGTATGGGCCAGTTTCCCCAAAGTGTTGAAGAGGACAAGATGAACAGAAAATAGAGTTAACACCAGCAGCATTAGCAGCAGAAGTGTGAATGAGAGTATTATGAAGAGTGTAAGTTTGTCGAAGGGCGAGCTTTACATCAAGAGGACGAAGGGGTATTAGTGAGATTTTTAAGTTCAGATATGAAAGGAAGGCAGAGCAGTGGTACTAGTGTTGAAAGCAGGTTTGGGATGAAAGAAATTACATTTAGCTTGAAAATAGGCACAATTGATAACATGTAAGAGGTATCAAAGGCAAGAGAAAGATTTGTAAATAAAAAAAAGATTCAGAATCAAGAAATTGAGGGTCACTGATGCATAGATCATGGAGGAAGAGAGAGATGAGAACATGGTATAAACAACCTACCATCTTCTATAAGCTGAGCAGAGGTGGCATCAGCTGGCAAAGTTGGCATTAGAGTTGACATAGTTGTATAGTCCATGGTTTCATCTAAGTTGATAAAGGGAGTATTCCAACGTGGCACAGGCGGCGTGGATCGTGGGGTGGTGCGCGGCGTGGTACCAGGAGAGGTGAACAGGCTCATACTTGTGGGAGAGATGACCCCTGACATGGCACTTACTGGACTCATACTTGAATAAGTAAACAGCTGAAAAGAAATGAATACTATTAGTGACCAATAAAATACCTACAGGCACTAACAGTACTAAAAATAGAGAAGTACTAACCTGTGTCTGAAGATTTGATTGTTGTCAAAATGTCAGGTTTCGGTCCCCCCCCTCTAATATTGATGCGTCTCTAATATAGACAATCCTTTCTTATCTGAAGAGAACAGTTCCTGAAGCATTCCTGAACAGCTGTTTCATGGAGATGCAAGAGAGCCCTTCCATACCCAATTAATTTCTTGTACAAATTTATTTAAATTATGATTTTAACAGTTCCTTTGACTAAACTTACTTTTTTTTGTGAAATTGCAATGTTGCTCTACTGTACACACATTATCTTTGATGGACAACATCACACATGCTTGTTGGAAACTTGGTATAATGGTATAATATAAATAAAACAAGTGTAGACTTTGTTTATAAATGGTTGTCAGAGTTAGAGCATTAGAGCCTACTTTATTAGTACAGAGCCACAAAAATCATCCCAGAACTAAGTCAACTCTTCTACCAGAATAAGTTGAGAGCCTCAAGACCAATATTGTAAATAAGACAAGACTGATTCAAGTTACCTGAGGGGCCACTAACCCTAGTGGCCTCGACGAGGACAGGAAACTAGTGGCTTGTCGCAGGTCCCCCATTTGCTTTGCTGATCTTTTCCAGGTGTATTTTAAAACGACGCATTTTTGGTAGTTACGGTTTCGGTGGGTAGGCGGTGCCATGGGTTAATAATAACCCTGTGAGTGAAAAAGCAGCTCCTGTTTTCTGTCCTACATTATGGCTTGTTGAGCTTGAAACTGTTACATCTGACTTTATGAAGAAAATATCCAAGTTAGCATCCTCTAACTTGTTCAGTATTTTAAAAATTTCAATGAGATCTGCCCTGTCATGCCTGGTTTGTAGTGTTGTTAGCCCTGTGGCCACCAAGCATTCCTGATACGAGAAATGACTTGGCTCTGGAACGACTTTTGTTTCACCTTCTCCAGAGCAGCTATGTCCTTCTGAATATGAGGTCTCCATGCTTGGATTCAGTAATCTAAGTGGGGGTGCACCAGAGATTTATACAGTCAAACCATTACCTTCTTTTCCTTATAGTCAAAAGTACTCTTCATTTTCCTAAGAGTTTGGTTTGCTTTTCTGACTGCTGTTCCCACCTATTGTGCCACTTTTAATGAGTGGTAGATTTGGACTCCAAGTTCCTTTTCTTCATCAGTCTGCCGTAATGCAAAGCTATTAATTTAGTAGTCATGGCATGGGTGGTTGTGACATGCATGGTCTTGCATTTGTCGAAATAGTATTAAAAACTTCTTATGTGGAACTCTGTTGACAGCCTTTTTTTTAGGTCAAGATAGATAAAGTCAACCCAACCATCTCTTTCCTGTAAAATCTCTGTTGCTCGATCATAGAAACTGAGTAAATTCGATACACAGGATCTTCCAGATCGAAAACCATAATGTCTGTCTGATATTATATCATTTCTCTCCAGGTGTTCTACCCATTTAGTTTTTATTAGTTTTTCCAATACTTTCACTATTACACTTGTCAATGATACAGGTCTATAATTGAGGGGGTCTTCCCTGAATGATTGATCTATTATTCGACAGATCGAATGATAGATCGATCTATCGAATGCTGCCACTTTCTCTGTCACCTCCGACGACGACAGTGTTGTTGTTGTATTGACCAGGACAAGCATCCCTCTGCATTCATTTGTGCTTTTCTTTGATTTTTTGTGGTTTTGTGACTACAATTTGTAACGCACAATGTCGCCAAAGAAGCTGCTTCCTAAAGACAGTGTTGGCAAGGGGAAGAGACAATTACCATGGAAATGAAGAAGAAAATCATAGCAAAGCACGAGCGTGGTGTCCGTGTGACTGATCTCGCCAGGGAGTATGGCAGGTCCTCCTCCAACAATTTGCACCATTTTGAAGAGGAAGGAACAATTTAAGACGCTTGAAGTGGCTAAAGGAGTTACCAAGGTTACCAAGAAAGGTCCACAAATCCTAGAAGAGGTTGAAAAGCTACTGCTGGTCTGGATAAATGAAAGGCAATTACATGGTGATAGTGTCTCTGAAGCTATTGTTTGTGCTAATGCAAAGAAGCTGTATGTGGACCGTGTCAGGAAGACACCAGGTGCTTCGTCTGAAGATGATGGATGGTTTGAGAAGTTTAGGAAGAGAAGAGGTATACACAGTGTTGTGCAACATGGGGAGGCTGCCAGCTCTGATAAAGCTGCTGCAGAGAAATTTGTGCCAGAGTTCCAGGAATTTGTTACTAAAGAGGAGTTCTTGCCCAACAAGTTTTTAATTGTGATGAGACTGGCCTGTTTTAGAAGAAAATGACGAAGAGGACCTACATCACGCAAGAGGAACAATCTTTTCCTGGCCACAAACTGATGAAGGATTGGCTTACCCTCGTGCTCTGTGGCAATTGCAAGGTCAAGCCACTGCTCGTGTACCACTCAGAAAATCCACGAGTGTTCAAGGCGTGTAAAGTGCACAAGACGCGACTGAATGTGATGTGGAGGTCCAATAAGAAATCCTGGGTCATGCGGATATTCTTCAGTGAATGGGTCAATGATGTTTTATTGGCTCCACAGTGAGGAAATATCTTAAAGAAAAGCTTTCACTACTCAAGGCCTTGCTTGTGCTCGATAATGCTCCTGCACATCCTCCACAGATGCAAGATGTTTGTTTCCCGAAAATCAGTTCATCACCATCAAGTTTCTTCCTCCGAACACTACTCCATTCCTCCAACCCATGGACCAGAAAGTTATTGCCAACTTTAAGAAGCTCTACATGAAGGCCTTGTTGGAGAGGTGTGTTGATGTGATAGACAATACAAAGCTGACCCTCAAAGAATTCTGGAAGAACCACTTCAATATCGTGGGTGCCTTACATTTGATCGATAAGGCCTGGGAAGGAGTGACATGGAGGACCTAAACTCTGCATGGCGAAACCTGTGGCCTGAGGGTGTCCCTGAGCGAGACTTCGAAGGTTTTGGCCCTGCACTTGCATCTGCACCTGTGGAAGATCCAGACGTGCATCTAGCGAATGATATTGATGCTCTGGGGCACACTTTGGGTCTGGGGTTGGATGCTGGTGATGTGCAGGAGTTAGTGGAGAAGCAGAGTGATGAACTGACCACTGAGGAACTCCTGGAACTTTAGAAGGAGCTGAGACAAGAGGAGGTACAAAAGCTCTCATCAGGGGAGGAGGAGGTAAGGGAGGATGCTGCCTCTTCCAGTGAGATCAGGGAAGTGTTGGGAATGTTGAAAAGGTAACCGCATTCTTGGAAAAGCATCACCCTGATAAAGCATTGACAACACGGTATGTGAACATGTTTAATGTTGCTGTCTCATTTTAGGGACATCCTAAAATGAAGACAAAAGCAACTGTCAATAGACACGGTCTTTGGAAAGGTAGAGAAAAGACCAGCAAGTGATAGTGAACTACAACCTGGTCCCAGTGGGGTGAAAGTCCCAAGAAGAGAGAGCCCACCTGACTCAGAGGTGGATTTTCCTTCCACTCCGTAACCCCTCTCCTCCTTCCCACCTCCCAACATCTTCCTCAAGCCAGCAACGACTTCATAAGGTAAAGTTAGTGTACAATTGAAAATTACAGTAGTAAAACTAAACATTTATATTTACATGTACAGTATTAAATTTACATTATAAAATGTCACATTGATGTTTTTCGGGAGGTGGAACATATTAATTTTATTTCTATTATTTTAAATGGGGAAATTCATTCTAAAGACAAGTTTCCACATGACGAGCTCGATAACTGGAAGGACCCGTTCAATATAATGGTGGCCATTCATTTGTTAGATAAGGCCTGGGAAGGGGTGTCACGGAGTACCGTACACTCTGCATGGCGAAACCTGTGGCCTGAGGGTGTCCCTGAGCGAGACTTCGAAGGTTTCGGTCCTGCACCTACATCTGCATCCACACCTGTGGATGACCCAGATGCTCTTTTAGTGGATGATATTGTCGCTCTGGGACACACACTGGGTCTGGAGGTGGATGCCGCTGATGTGCAGGAGTTGGTGGAGGAGCACAGTGATGAACTGACCACCGAAGAACTCCTGGAACTGCAGAAAGAGCTGGTGCAACAGGAGGTACAGGAGCTCTCATTGGGGGGAGGAGGTCTGCGAGGATGCTATCCTATCCAGTGAGATCAGGGACGTGCTGGGCATGTTCGAAAAGGTGACAGCATTCACGGAAAAGCATCACCCTGATAAGGCGGTGACAACACGGTTCGTGAACCTGTTTAATGACAATGTGCTGTCACGATTTAGGGACATCCTCAAACGAAGACAACAGCAAGTGACATGCGATACGGTCAGTGGACAGGGTGAAAAGAGACGTGCTAGTGATATTGAACCACAACCCGGTCCCAGTGGGGTTGAATTCCCGAAGAGAGCGAGCCCGCCTGACCCAGAGGTGGTGTCTCCCTCCTCGTCATAACCCCTCTCCTCCCTCCTTCCCGATCGACTCCCTCAAGCCTGCAACGACTCTTCATGAGGTAAAGTGAATATACACATGGGAACAGTCAAACAAACATTTATTTAACATGTACAGTATAATATTACCAGTGTATAATGTCATATTGTTGTTTTATGGGGTGGAACAGATTATTTGTATTTACATTGTTTTGAGTGGGGAAAATTGTTTTGCATGACGCCGGTTTCACATGATGACGGCGGCGTTGGAACGGATTAAATTTGTTAAGCAAGGTACCACTGTGTGTGTGTGTGTGTGTGTGTGTATATTATATATATATATATATATATATATATATATATATATATATATATATATATATATATATATATATATATATATATATGTCGTACCTAGTAGCCAGAACGCACTTCTCAGCCTACAATGCAAAGCCCAATTTGCCTAATAGGCCAAGTTTTCATGAATTAATATATTTTCTCAAATTTTTTTCTTATGAAATGATAAAGCTACCCATTTCATTAT